ACTAAAGGAAGCTGTAGCTTCGTTTTTTTTAGATGGCAGAGGGGCCAGTCTGTCATTTCACTGCTGTCAGAACACCTCAGATGCTCAAGCTGGGATGGGAAGGCAGCACCTCATTGTTTTATCCTAATTTTCACTGAAAACAGGGTTCACCCTCATTTCTGTCTGACAACACCACAGTGTTTGCCTGCAGCTCCAGATTTTGCTAGAAAGTAGTTCTGGCACCTTCCTGATCCACTAATGTGTCTGGTGAGGTGAAAGACTTTTGAGAGCATATGAAGGAAATGGTAAGAATCCTCTGGGAGGAGTTTGGGGTTACCTGGGCATGAGGGGAGATATGAGATGAGCTCTTCTCCAGGCTTAGGCTTGTTTTTGTGGTGTTAGCTTTTTAGATATACCAAGAAGATGTAAAAACAACTGGTTGAAAAAGTCCTGGGCATTTTAAAGTAATATTTGTTGGGGATTTATTGAAGATGGTGTAACACAGCCTGTAGCAGCATCTGCTTCCCAGATTAACAGAGCGTTTGCAAACAGCACTTTGAAAGCAACCTCCAAGATTATTGGAAAACTGGAGAGCAGACTTGGTGAATGATTCATGACATGGGTTTGCATATCAGTTGTTCCTTTTCCTTTCTTTGTCAAATTTATTTATTTCAGTGCTATTATGCAGGAGCCACACAAACACTGGAACCATCCTGGAAGTGCTGATGTGCCAGGATTGTGCTGCTCATCACAGCAGGGGCCTGAGAGTGCAGAGCTGGAGGGCATCCTCATCCAATGCAAATGGGTTTTATTTTGGAGCTGTTGAAACTTGGACCAGGAGCTGGAGGTGGGCTGCAGTGGGAGATAAAAATATTAACTCGGTGCTAATCTCCTGTTAGAGCCGGTGGATGTTTGATCAGTGGAGTCTGGAGGGCGTTTCACACCCCAAAATAGATACTGATGTTTGAGTAACTAAATGGCTCACCAAACACCCCAGACCATGCTGGCTGCGTCCCCATGGACTGCAGTAAGAGCTGGGACAGCCACCACGTGTGTAGGTCACGATTCAGCTGCTGAACACAGGTATCTGGTTTTACCTTGAGACACATTGCTTAGTCCCCATCTGTGAATCAAGAGGTCCAGGGTCATATCTGGAGGTGCCCTGCATGGGTCTTGGATAGCTTGGGGAATCCAACATGCCAGTTAAATCCAGGATTTGCACGTGGGCACCCCAACTGAGACGCCCTAATCTGGAACTGAATCCTACCCATCATGCCAGGGTGTGGTACAAGTTTATCAGGCTGTCCCTGAGGATCCCCCCCTTGGCATGGACACAGGGAAGGGCATTCCCATGGTCCATGCTGCTGGCTGTCAGCCCAGGGCTATCCTGTGCTTCAGGTGAGCTAAATTCCAGCTGCTGGCTGGTCAGGGCTAGAGCATGGGTGGAATCCTTGGGACTCCACTGGGAGTGTGTGAGTGCTTGTTCTGTTGAGGGCAGGGGTGTTCCCAGTGTGGACGCCTTGGAGAGAGTTCTGGGGCTGCTCAGCACGAGAAGGACATGGAGCTGCTGGAGCAAGTCCAGAGGAGGCCACAGAGATGTCCAAGGGCTGGAGCCCCTCTGCTCTGGAGCCAGGCTGGGAGAGCTGGGGGGGTTCACCTGGAAAAGAGAAGGCTTCAAGGAGACCTGAGAGCCCCTTCCAGGGCCTAAAGGGGACAAACTTTTTATCAGAATCTGTTGCAATAGAACAAGGGGTGGTGGTTTTAAATTGAACAATTATATTACCTGTTATGAAGTTTTTTGCAGTGAGTGTGGTAAAACATTGGCACCAGTTTCCCAGAGAAGCTGTGGATGACTCAATCCTGGAAACATTCAAGGTCAGGCTGGACGGGGTTCTGAGCAACCTGATCTGGTTGAAGGTGTCCCTGCTGATGGCAGGGGAGTTGGACTGGATGGTCCTTAAAGGTCCCTTCCAACCCAAACTGTTCTGTGGTTCTGTAATAAAGTCTGTTTCTTCACATGGGGTTGGTCTCAAGAGCAGGACAAGCCTGGCCTATCACCAGTTTGTTTGGGAACTGTCTTATCCAGCTCTGCAGCCCACCCTGGCTGGGGGATGGAGAGGTCAGTGCTCTAAAGAGAGGCAGAAGCTCCACTTAGAGAGACACATGGTGAGAGGAGCAGACCCGAGCGAGCTGATGTGGCATGTTAGGGATACATTCAAGGAGGGTAATTAGAAACTTCAATGTCATATCCAGGAGGGTGTGTTCGATTCATCTGCAAACCACCCCAAGAAGCTAAAAGGGGCCTTGTGGCTGAGGGGGAAGCCACAGGCAAGCCTGGTTGATCTACGGCTTTTCATTGCACGTGTGTTCTGGGAACGGGAGAATGGAGCCTGGGCTGCTCTCAGCAATACCCGTCCTATTTTGGAGACTGCTAAAAGGGCATCAGGGCATCCTCCTCAGCTCCCTGTTCACTGGCTCAGAGGGTGGACCATGACTGTGGTTGTTCACAGCCTCTGTTCTTCGTGGCAGTGTATCCTCAGGTGGCACATCTTCACGGCTTTTAAATCTCTCCAGGCATGGTGACTCTACCACTGCCCTGGGCAGCCTGCGTAGGGCTTGACAACCCTTTCTGTGAAGAAATTTCTCCTCATGTCCAACCCAAACTTGTCCCGGTGCCACTTGAGGCTGCTTCCTCTCTTCCTGTCGCTTGTGAGAGGACACCAACGCCCACCTGTCTACAGCAAGGTGTTGCTTTGCAAGCTGTTGTGTCCCTGAGTTGCCCTTGCTGTGGGGAGCAGCTGCAGTGAAGGACCCGTAGAGGGAAGGAGAATTTAGCCAGAAGCTAAAGCTGAAGCCCAGCGTTGATACGGGGAAACACAGATCCAGCCCCTGCCCTGGTGCCGGGAGGAGGTTGTGCATCAGCCTTAGCAGAGCTGATGAGCCTCTGGAAGGAAGCCAGGACATTGCAGGAGTTTTTGCAGCGTTCCCCAGGAATTTTGTCCTGAACAAAGATGACGGTGCCGGCCCACGTGGGCATGCTGATGGCGGCCTGCACGGAGCTCTTTGCCCCCTTGCTGATCACTTGTGGCTGCCGAGTGGCAAACGAGCCATTAGTCCTCAGCAGTGGCAGTTCCTTGTCAGCTAATGATCTGAGCAGGGCTGGGGCTAAGGAAGGAGGTCGTGCTGGAGTGCACAAGGTCAGAGCAGCTGGATGCTCTTGAAAGCAGATGGACTCATTAGCTGCAGGGAAATCCCCTTCCTGGGGCTGATCGTGGCCCTGGTGCTGGTCTGCAGCCACCCTGTGCTCCCACCTGTGCTCCATGCATTGCCTGTTGCCTAAATGTCCTCAGACTGGTGCTCGTAGAAGCATGAGAAGGAAAATTAGAGGCCACCACAAAGGTTGCCCTTCGTGGTTTTCCCCCGTTCCTTGGGTGTGCGTGCACAGCAATTATCTTACCAGTTCAATAGGCTGGGTAGGGTGCTCAGAGCCCCTCAGCTCCTCCATCCTGGGACAGTCATCCAGGTGTCAGCCTCCCTGGAAAAATGTTGTTGGCACCTTCCCATGAAAATAATGAGGGTGAGAATCCCATAAAGGCTGACTCAAGGTCAGTGGCTCCATCTAAAAGTAATGAGTGGGTGGGAGAGGGATCCCAGTTGCTTCCCTGTGTCGTGAGTAATGGGAAATAGTATTGGTGGACCCTGCCCTGGTAAACCCATTGCAGGGTCTGCCTGGAGAAGGAAGGAAATTGTGACTGTTCCCTTGCTTTGCAACCCACTAAGCCTTGGCACAGAGGTCCCTTTTCCCTTGCAGCTTCCATGGGTTGATGGCAACCCCTTGACCCTGGCCAAAACTCAGGTGCAAACCCAGGTTTTAAGGACAAGGTGTGAGCTGGTGGTGCCGTTTTGGGGGAAATACCGCAGGTCGTCACTTCTTTGGCGTGCAAATGCTGCATCCCCATCCGACTGCCGCACCACATGAGCCATTTCCAGCTGTGCACTCCCATATCATATGTGCCATGGTGGTCTTCCTCTCTGCCCTTACCCAGGAGGAGACCTGGGCCACCCCCCCAGGCTGTGCTAGGGGCGCTCAGGACCCCGTTAATATGACGGCTGCCTGCTGGTGGGGGTCTCAGTCCTTGAGGTTGTGCTGAAGTGGAGTCAGGTCCCCCAAAGCACCCTCCCGCTGATCTCCCGCATCAACCCTGAGTCCTGCCCACCTCCAGGCAAGCTGCTGGGCCACCTCATCCCTCTACAACCACCCTGTAGGTAACCTGTGTTATCAGCCACCGGTGTGTTTTGTCATCTCCTCTGGCACGTGCTGGTGACAGTTCCACTCACCTAACACCTCCCACGTGGAGGTGTCAGCTTCCTGCTTGGAGATGCCAGCCTGTTGGGAGACACTGTCTCTATCATGTGCAAGTGGTGGCCAGGAGCTTCTGTAGGGCTCCATTTCTCCAAAGTTTTTCCCAAGCTAAGAGGGACAGGAGACTTTTACAGGCAGAGCCTGGGAGGGCACTGGCCACACACTTTCCCCCTCTGCACCCCAGCACCTCTGGGATGTGGGTTTATTGCAGGCACCCCTGTGGGTACCATCATCTCTGACAACTGAGCTGTGGTTGCAGAAAGCCCCAGGGAGCTGATAATCCCACGGGGACCAAAGCATAATGTTTAGCTGGGGGGTGGGATGGGCGAAGCAGCCAAAGCTGCTTGGATGTGATCCGTTTCCGGAGCGTTCATCTCCCAGCTGTCACAGGAGATGTGATACAGTGGGAGGACGGGGTGGGTTTGCACCTCCATGGCACGGTGTTGCTAGGTGATCTTGTGATACAGGGGAGGGTGATGAGCAGAGGAACTGACCGTGGAAACACGTTTGGTGGGAGAGCAGGAGCAGGCCTGCCTCAGTGTTTCCTCACTGTGCCAGCAGAAGGTGTCTCCAGAGCTGGCCTTTCTTAACCAGACACTCAGTCCTGGGTCTGATGGAGGTTTTTGTTCTGTTTCTTTCTCTCTCCGTTGTTCCTTAGGAAATGGTCAGAGGAGCGGAGGGAGCGTCGCCGATTTGAGACAGAACCAAGGGTCCTGGTGAGTACTCATCTGGGTGAGCTTTGTGTGGAGAGCTGGCAGCTCCTGGCAAGCGGGACACAAATCGGGGTTGTCTTGATATCTTTCTGGGGTCCTGGGGGTCTGATCCTGCCCTTCAGTTAGCGGGATTTGCTGCGGGAGAGGAGGTGGTTTTGTCACATTGATGGATCAGCGCGAAGCATCTTTACCACCACCACCACCACCACGACTCTCTGCTGTCATCAGCGACCGAAACTCTTAACTGCTGTTCCTGTAAATCCGTAGAAGATGCTCTCATGAACATGTGTGTGCTGAGTGCTGCAGTGCTGGAGGGAGCAGGCGGCAGAGAACGCTGGCAGCTGCACGGGAGTGCGCCGAGCAACAATATTTGCTGATGCTTGGAGTGCTTTTGGCTGTTGTTGTTCTTGGCCCCGGCGCAGACCCAGTCACGGGGCTGCGATTCTGGGTGACATTTCAAGGTCCTCTCCAGACCTGTTTTCTGCAGCTGTCGCACAGGAGGCTGTGAATTGGATGCCTTCCTAAAGGTCTTGAAGAGGAAGAAAGGAAAATCCTTTTTTTTTTTTTTTTTTTTTTTAAATCATCTGAGCCGGTTCAGATGTGCCAGAGCCAGATCCCGAGTTGATGTTGCTGAACTGAGGTATTTCGCTCCTCTCCTCTTGAGCAACTGCCTGGTTTGCGCTGGCCAAACCCTCAGCAGAGCCGTGCTGTGAGTCCCCCACAGGTTCCCATCTGTCAGGGACTGAATCCCCACATCTCCCCTCCGGGCCCCACACTGCACGTGTGTTATGGACGCTGAGGAGCATCTCGCTGCTGGGTTATCACAGAATTACAGAACCACGGTTTGGGTTGGAAGGGACCTTTAAAACTCATCTAGTCCAAGCCCCTTCCATGGGCAGGGACGTTTTCCAGATTGCTCCAAACCCCGTCCCACCTGGCCTTGAACACTTCCAGGGCTGGGGCAGCCACGGCTTCTCTGGGCAATCTGTGCCAGGGCCTCCCCACCCTCTTCATAAAGAGTTTCTTCCTTATATCTCTTGGGTCTCTGCTATTGCCTGGACAATGTGGACGTGTGAGAGCAGTGCTGGTGGTGGGTGAATCACAGGGAGATCCAGATTTTAAGACACACCTCAGCTCCTATAGTATAAGCATGAGTTTAGAAGGGAGAAGTTGACACAATATGGTTTCAGGAAGCTATCTTCAGACATTTAAAAAGATAGAGGCCTTTTGTAGTTAGTGGAGATGTTTTTATCCCACGTTAAATCTGATCTAGTTTGGGCAGCGCTCTAGGATGAGCAGAAGCCTGTCCCTCTCCTCTGGCTGCAGGAGCAGCCCAGGTGAGGGGATGGTGTGTCTGCAGGGTCACCTCCTGGCAAGGCAATCAGGGAGGGTGCTGAGATCCTGCTTTCCCCCAACACCCCCTCAGCAGAAGAATCTGAGAGGTGATGCTTTGTTCCCTGAAATTATCTCTGCCTCCGAAAAAGGCTGTTCAGTGCCTGCAGGAAAAACCAAACTCCTCTCTGGCTCCCACTCCTCCCACTGCTTCCATTCTGCCTCTCTGCAATCAGCTAGAAAATAAACCCAGACTATCTCCCTGGGAGAAGCAACCCTCTTGTCTGTAAACAGGGCAGCCTGGAAGGCCACCAGCTGCAGAACTGAGTGCCATCACCAGCCTGGTGAGGCTGCTGGGCTGTGCTGCCCCACCCCAGGAAGCCCCTTGCACCCATCTTCTCCCAAATTCCAGCTGCATTTCCCCTCCCTGCACCCCAGCCCCTGCTCTCCTGGCAGAGATGGAGGACCAGTGTGTATCTGGAGCACAGGATACTTTATCATGCTGGCTTTCCTGATTTACACCAGCAGGGGTTTGGTCCCCTGAGCTCCAGCAATCCTGAAGAGATTCAGCTTATTAAACATCCGTTTGCACTGTCTTTAGCGTTAAATAATTGGCTCCTCAGCATATTTGAGTTGGAGGGTATCTAATAATCCTGTGAACTATCCATCATGCTCCATTATCATCTTTCCACTCCTGCACTGGCTGCCTCGTGTCAGCTCCGCCTGGGGTTTACAAATAGATTTCGTTTCTCCTGCAGTTTTCCTCCTTTTCTTCTGTCTCATCCTCTCAAAGGAGCCATTTCAGGCTCCTTAAAATTTGTGCAGACGCTCCCATCAGCATCTTTCTGCTGACTTGTGAGCGATGAGTCCCATCCATGTGCTGGCTCCGCTCCTGCCGGAGCCCCCAAACAAAAACTCTCATTTAACACAGAGGAGTAGAATTGTTATCTCGATTGAAAGAATTTCAACCTGCAAACTGATAAATCATCGCATTGTTGGAGCTTCCCTGTTGGCTCAGAGGATTTGTAGGACAACACAGTAATGACTTGTCAGCTGCCCTCCAGCAGACCAGCACTGCAGCACTCACACACAGGGCACAAGCCCCATGTGTCCTGATTGTATTTTAGTAAGGATGCCTGAGAAGGCTCCTAAAAAACCCTCCTAACCAGGTGGGTAGTGTGAGAGCTGAGAATAGAATAGAATAGAATAGAATAGAATAGAATAGAATAGAATAGAATAGAATAGAATAGAATAGAATAGAATAGAATAGAATAGAATAGAATAGAATAGAATAGTTTGGGTTGGAAGTGACCTTTAAAAGCCATCTAGTCCACCCCCCACTGCAATTAGCAGCCACATCTTCAACTAGGCCAGGTTGCTCAGAGCCCTGTCCAGTCTCTATCATATTATTTTTGGTACCTGTTGCTGCTACTGCCATACCAGCAATGGGAACTGTGCTCAACATCCTTTTAAAATCAGGCTTGTGCTCATCTCTGTGAGTCTGAAGCATCCTGGAGGAGAAGGATGTGTTGAGAGATTGTATCCTTGTGGTTCAGATTTGCTTTTAGAGCAGATGCACATATTCCCATTTTTATAGGCTCTGGAGCTGCTGGTGGATGTTTTGCCAGTATCAGGAAAGACACAGCTAGGTTTTACTCATGAAAAATTAACTTCTTCCTTTTTATATGGCTTAAGAAATGGTCTTCCCAGTGAAATTTTGGGATTATCAAAACTGGTTTTAGGGTGTCAGACTGGGATTGCATACCAAGACATAGCACTGGGGCAGGCAAGTAGAGCCATAAAAAAAGGACCAGTCTCTCTTACAAACATCTTCCCACATAGTCTGAACACTCTTTTTCTGAGTTGTTCTAGACACATCTTTTGCTTCTAGGGCATAAAACATGCAAGGCGAATTCCAGCAGCTTCAACCCATTTAGGAGCTCTCCAGTCCATACATGAAATTCTTCTACCCAGTCATTTCTAGATCACCCTTTAAAAAAATCTCTCCCAGTTCTAACCTGTCAAGAGGGGATTAAAATCCCTCAATAGCCACCTGGTTCTTCTGTTAAAAACATGTCGGTGTGATTGTCTAAAGGACAAAAACACTGAATTTTGCGCTGAGATGTGTTTGCTTTTGCAAGGATAGGTTTCACTTTGCATCCCTCTCCTGGGTCCAGTATATTACTGGGCCAGAGCCATCTCTGAGTGAGGTTGCAGCAAGCAGAAAAAGAGGGAAACCCCCACCTGTAAACACAGCAAGTCACTGTGCAGCAAGAGGTATCAATTCTGGTTGACACGTGGAGGAGACCACGTGGTGTAAAGTCCCACACACCTTCAGCAGAGGCGGAGATCTGGCTACTTGAGACGTTTTCAGCGTCTTAAGGACTACAAGTTTTAGTTCTCCAGGAGAGGCGTCACCGTAAGACGGAACCCTCGCTGATTCCTGCGCCTCTGCCCTAATGCCATCACTCTCCCCCCTTTTGCAGACCCTCGTAATGACATTCCTGGTCACACACACGCACGCAAAAAATACTTTATGCAGGGAAAATGAATCTGGCTTCAGCCGGCTCTTGCCTCCTGCTGCGGTTGCCTCCAGACCCTGGCTCGCCCAGGGTGAAATGGAAAGGGGAGTTAATGTAGCAGGGTCATTCCTCACTGCTGAATTGGTCAGCCGTCTACAGAGCCAATTTCTGCAGCTTTTCAGTGGCGTGGTAGACCCCTGGGTAATATTTGCCTGAATGGAGCCCTGAGTGTTTAAGCTGTGTTGCCAGGAATGGCTGTTTTATCCTATGCATCTGAGATTTCAACTCATCAGACATGAAGCAGGTCAAGACTCTCGTGCCATTGTGTGCATTACAGCGAACAGAACAGAATATGCTTGATAAAAGGGAGGACTTGAAAGAGATGCTTCTTTAGACCTGAAACTTTCAAGTCCCACAATGCATCAAAGACCCCTCGTATAGACTTTGAAAGGGGCGAAAGGCATTGCCTAATATTTGGAGGAAATGAATAATAAAGCGTCCCAAGTGCCTGGAAACTAATTTAGGAGTGCACGTTGCACTGTATTGCCTCTGCTGGATTCGCTCCCCAGAAGAGTTGCTAACAAAAGGTTTAAAAAAAAATAAAATAAAATTACGTTTGGAGACCAACTTTTCTGCCTTGAAATGCCCCCTTTTTTGTAATGTTTCCTGGTAAGAGTTACTTATGAAAAGATGAAACACAGCCCGTGCTGCAAACACCAGGTCTCAAATGAAGCTTGGGAGCCCTTAAGGTTTCCCACCATTCCCCTCCCTGTCACAGCCTTTTGTTCCTTCTTGTTGAAAGCATTGCTTGCAGGATGCTTGCAGGATGCTGAGGCACTAACTGCTCATGGAGTTTAGTCATATCTTAGGGGGAAAAAAGAAAAAAAAAAAAAATCAACCTGTTTCTGTGGCCTCTGCTTTTGTTCAAGCACAACCACCTTTGGGTACAGTTAGGACTGCTCTGTGGGTGACCTACTGCTCCTTGCAGCAGGAACTGGGAGCCTGGTCCTGTGCTGAAGGTAGCAGTTACATTTCTGGTATCCCCATGGATGCTGAAGGTGCTGTTTGAAGCCTGAGGTACTTGTTGCAGAGTCACAGAATGGTTTGGGTTGGAAGGGACCTTAAAGGCTATCCTGTCCCAACCCCTCT